CATTTATTTTTTCCGTACTTTATCACTTTCCTATTTTACTATTATTGTTAGCTAATAGGATTGTATGGCAAGATTAAAAACAAACAATAGCTAATATTAATCAAAGATAAACAATACTCGAAACACAAATCACTTTGCACACCCGCACTTCTAGGGTAACCTCCCTTGTTACCTTTTGATAAAAAACAATCATATCCCTCGAACATGGAGACGCTTTAGCACTGTCCCTCGAAATCAAAGATCGTAGTCACTCGATGACCCTTTCGAATGTTGCTTTCGGTAAACAATTTAGTCCCTCACGAAATTGCTAAAGCGTCCTTACAAGTTGCCTTCTATGACTGTACGATAACTCACGCCTGTCCCTTCATATCCAACGCTAAGCTTCCTACTAACTAATGGTAGGATAACACTATCTAAAGGAGGAGGAAAAGAATAATAAAGACTTTGAGTAGGTAGAACGCTCGTAGTCGCTTACTCACGAACATTTCAAAACAAAAACATCTTTTCACAATCACACTTACTCAAAATATTTTCAAAACAAACAATTTGTACGCATTCTCGAGGACAGAGACGAAGATCATTACAAAGTCTTGCCTCACTATGGCAATTTTCAAAATATTTTTCAAACACATTCACAAAGAACTTTCAAAGTGAGCTAGCGATTAAGAGCCCGTAGATAATTACGGATGAAAAGGGTGCTAACACCTTCCCTTTTCATAACTTACCCACCGAACTCAAAATCTTCAAGGTTTCTCCTGTTCTTTTCACCCTTTCCTTATTGGATAAAAGAAAAGTCGATGGTGACTCTTGCTATATTTGTGATAAAACACAAAACAAGTCAGTTTTCCCATTGTATTACATATTTGAATACAAGTTTTGTTTACAAGAGTATTGATTCTACATAAGCTGAATATGTAAACTATTTTAAGAACAACGACTAAAGAATATGAAAGCTATGAACAGTGTTTTTGTGCATGAATATTTCGTTGATTTTCATGCTTTCTTTCTTAGTCTTCAAGCCTTTATATAGCCAATAAAATAATATATCCATTGAGGGGTACTCTTGGGATTTCCAGAAATATTGTCAGCTTGAACAGTAATGTGGGGGACAAGATCGTGCGACGCGTCCGTCCTTTCTTTGTAGTTGAATGAAATGTTGATTGTACCATGTACTATTTATACCACGTTAAAGTTATCTTCTTTCCTTATGCACTTCAGAGGCTTCTGCTAGAATGAGCTTAGAAGCGGGAATATAACATAAGGTTATCAGAACTTCAAGTCTTCAGAGTTTTAAGAACTTTGTCTTTAGAGTCTTCAACACTTGGTTGTGAGAACCTTTTCTTGGAACCTTGTTATTAGAAACACAAGTTTTCAGCATCTGGACTTCATTAGAAACTTTGTCTTCATATCTTCTAACTTTGTTTCTTTGGAACATGTTGTCTTTAGAAGCTTGAGTCTTTAGCATCTGGACGTGAGTAGAAACTTTTGTCTTCAGATCTTCTGACTAGTTTCTTTATACAAATATCATAGCTTACACTTCAGAGCCTTCTGGAGTGTTTGTCTACTGTTCAACAGAACTTGTGTAGCGTAGAAGAGAAATTAATTCTCTTTTAATGTCTTGGTCACGCCATCCATCAGAAGTAGAACCTGTTTATTAAGTACTCAACAATAAAAAATATTAGAGTATCAAAATTATTCATACAAACATACTCATTTGTTATCATCAAAACTCAGAGATGATATTGCGAAACCAAATCTTGTTCTTACATAACTTGCCGAAAGAGTTGTGGGGAGAAATGATATTCACAACTGCCTATTTGTTGAATAATTATCCTACAAAGAAGCTTGAGAAGATAACACCGAAAGAGGCATGGTATAGATTCAAACTGAATCTGAACAATTTGAGAGTTTTCGGTTTTGTGACATATCTACATGTTCCGGGTCAACTTAGAAAGAAGTTGGATGATAAGGGGAGATGGTGATACTTATAGGGTATCACCCTATTGGAGGTTACAAGTTGTTTGATGCTGAAATAAGGAGGATTGTGATCAGTCGGGATGTCATATTCGAGGAATTGAAGCAAGTGGAATAGCCTACAACCGGTTACAGATAGTCGTTAACCCATTACATGCAGACGTTAACCGGTTACCAGAAACCGTTAACCGGTTACATGTACAAAATTTCAGATTGTGGAGAAAATGAAATTGCAGAATCACCATGCGTCGAAGCCCGAACTAATGGAAATGTAAGAAGACCAACTAGGCAAAGAGGTTTGCCTCAAAGACTCTAAGATTATGATATATTCTGCAACAACGAAATCAATGATGATGGTGATTTTGTCCATTTTGCACTTGTGGCCGAATCTGAGCCCGTTAAGACAGAACATGCCTTGAGTGGTACAAAGTGGATTGTGTTATAAAGGAGAAGCTGAATCGATTTAGAAAAATAGTACTTGGGAGTTGGTTGATCTACCAAAAGGAAAGAAGTTGACTGGTGTAAGATGGGTCTATAAGGTGAAGGAAAATCCCAAAGGTGAAACAATCAAGCATAAGGTTCGATTAGTTGCAAAAGATTTTTACAAAGAGAATGTATAAAATTTGATGAGGTATTTGCACCAGCTGCTAGGATTAAAACCATAAGGCTAGTTGTTGGTATTGCGAATAACAAGAATTGATCCATCTATCAAATGGATGTAAAATCTGTGTTTTTGAACGTTTTGTTTGAAGAAGAAGTGTATGTAGAAAAATCCCCTAGTTTTGTTGTGAAAAAACAAGAAGAAAGGTTCTACAAGTTGAGAAAAGAGTTATTAGGATTGAAGCAAGCTCCAAGAGCTTCAAACAAAAGGATAGACGATTTTCTAATTGATGTTGACTTCAAGAAATGTGTGTCCAAACATAGAGTTTATATGAAGACAAATATAAATGAAGAGATGATCATTCTTTGTCTATACATAGACGATTTGTTGATCACAGAAAGCAAAGAGAAGAATGTTTCTAAGTTTAAGAGTGAGCTTATGAAAGAATTTGAGATGAGCAACTTTGGTATCATGACATACTTCCTTAGTATAGAGTTCAATAAGTCATAAATGAGACTTCTTATGCATCAAAAGAGATATGCCATTGAGATATTGAAGAATTGTGATATGGAGCATTGTAATGCTGTCATTATATTAGCTGAACCAAGGTTGCAGTTGCTAAAGAATGAAGAGGGGCAGAACGTAGATCCAACTCAATATAGAAGGTTGATTGGATCATTACGTTACTTGTGCACACGACCAAATTTGGCATTTAGTGTCGGTATTGCGAGAAGATTCATGGAGAAACCGAAGTTGTCTCACTTGACAGCAGACAAGAGAATCCTGAGATACGCCAAATGATCTATTGGCTACAGAATTCTCTTTCTTGCAGCGGATATGAGCAGAAAATACAATTTGTTTGGTTTTATCGATTCTAATTGGTGCGGAGATAAATATGATTGAAAGTCTATAGTTAGATATATCTTTATGTTTGATAGAATATCAATTTCATGGTGTTCGAAGAAGGAACCAGTAGTTGCATTGTCGTCTTGTAATACTGAGTATATTGTTGCTTCATTATGCGTGTGCCAAATTGTATGGATAATGAATCTATTGAAGGAGCTGGGCAACAGTGAGGCTGAGGATGTTATACTCCTGGTTGACAACGTTTTCGCTGTTAATCTTGCTAAGAACCCAATTGCATATGGGAGGAGCAAGCACATTGAGATAAGGTTTCACTACTTGAGGGGGCTTGTTAGTGAAGGCAAGTTAAGATTAAGATATTATACAACTAAAGACCAAGTTGATAATTTGTTGACTAAAAAAGTCAGAAATGATGTGTTCAAAAGGTTGAAGATGAGCATGAGAATGAAAAATTTGGAACACTTGAATTAAGGTGTTGTGTTGTGTGAAAATACACTAATTCAAGAGTTGTAACTGGTTAACACGAGGGTGTAACCGGTTACACTTTGGTGAAAAACACTTTTGAAAAGAAAAAATATATTTTTGGAGTTGGCATAATCGATTAGGCACTCGCATTTAACCGATTATATTTATTTGTTGCATTTTTACAACTTGTATCAGCTATAACCGATTAACAGCTTTGTGTGTTTTATGTTCCAAACATTTTATAATGCTTGTATAAATGTTTTATAGACATCTTCATCAATAATAATACAAACTATAATTCTCACCCTCACTTATTTATCTCTCTTTAATTTTGTTTTCTCTTACTACCTCTTTATCCATATACTCTATACTTTACTAATTGTATAATTGTATGTTACAACAAATTTAAAAAAAAAAATTAAAAACCTTTGTTTATTGTGATGAGAAAGAAGAAACATTCTACATATGAAACATTTAAGAGTTTAAAAGTATAAATTACATTATTATTCATCGACTTAAGTAGTTACATTAAATAAAAGAGTTTAGTTTTTAATCTAAAATACGAAGGTGTAAGGTGTTAACTTACTGGTTCATTATCTTGAGTGAGTGTAAGTTAATAATCCCATATTAAAAATATTATAATAAATTCAATTTAAATTGTTTTAACATAAAAATGTTAATAAGAAAAAAATTAAAAAAGTTACCGATTTATCACTCAACTCTCTGTTTCTAAAATTCTTCCCTCCATCTGGAACAAAACCTATAATTATTTTGACCTCATTGTGGGACAGAGAAAAATGTTTTGTCTTTCATTGGATGTATAAAAGCACTAGACTCTATTTTAAATAAATTTTCACCCTTCCTTTTCATTTTTCTCATTACATTACATCTTTCACTTACTCTCTTTTTCCTCTTTCCATCTGTTACAATTGTTTTCAAATACCTTTTTTATTCTAATAAGCTTCACTTCTTATAACAAATTATCAGAACCAAGAATACTCTTGTTTTTTTAATCTGTTCGGATGCTTTTGGTTTCAGAAGTGAAAACCAAAAACGATAAAGCTTTGAGAGAAACCAAAGATATATACAACATAGGATGTCAGATTGGAAATCTAAATATATGATCCTGTGTTTTTTTCTGGCTTTGAGTTTGTCTCTTCAACAGTTTGGATCCAACGCTCAACTCATACCACAAGATGAAGGTACGTACGCTTCCATTTCTTATTATGATCAATGCTTATTTCTTTTTATTCATTACTATTAATTTAACTGCCTTTGATCCTTTAACCACCTTTTTCTATGTTTTAACCGTTCCCACTTCTACGGTAAATAAATAAATATATAAATATATATATATATATAGAAATTAACAACTGTAATTATTATAATAATGCATCATCACATGTGAGATTGGAACAACAATAAGTCATTTATTTTAGGTAGGACCATGATAAGACATAGTGTAGAAAGTAAGATAAAGTTGATTCGAACGTTGAAAATAAAGTTTCATAAATGATGGCTAATTTGAGAGGATTGATCGTGTAGAAAAGTCAAATTCCGAGATGCTGGAAAGGCTACTATATGCTGCATGGCTGATGTCAAATTCAAACATGCTATCATTTCTCTTTATGAGTTTTGACTATTTTATTTCATTGAATTATGTTGAATATGTCTTAGTATTGTCAATAATTAACAATTTGGTAATGGTCACTTCAACCAAAACCAACTCTAATTATGAAATAAATTGAATGATAGTAATTACGAATTTTTTATCTTACATATAAATTCCTATACTACCATAAATTTCAATACATATCCTCAATATATTATGTTTTCAGACAAAAAAGAAATTGAAATAAGAGACTTCGTCCATTGAATTAGCGGATGTTCTCTAAATTATAAAGTTTCTGCCCATTAGACTGACGAAGCTGTTATAATATCGTTTTTTTAATATAATATTAAATTATACAGTTTAACATTAACACTCTTCCGCCTATTGGATAGGCGGAGCCTCTAAAAATTATAACACTTCTGCCCATTGTTTTTGCGGATGTCAAATATTTTCAACAGCTCCGCCCATTCATCTGACGGATGCTGTGACAAAAATAAAATTTATTTGAAAATATGATAGTATAGAAATATAAGATGGTATAGTGGAATTTTTTGTATAAAAAGATGGTAAGACAGTAAAAGAATTAAGAATTAGTAATTAGAGTTGTTTTAACAAAATACAATACTTTTATTCAAGTATTCCGGACTTTTTTATTTATTAAAGGAGTTATTTTTTAAATCATATAATTAATTATTTAGTTGATCTATAATACATAATTAATTACCTATAAAATATTATTAATTCAGTTTAATATATAATTTAAATTACGCTGTATTTGACCATCTTATTAAATTAACTGTAATGTTAGCCATAAATCAAATTAAATATCTAATCAATTGACCACATATTTATATGTGATTAACTAAACATCAAGTTGGTGTGCAAAAACGACTTTGACCAGCCAAATGTAAAAGGATAGTATTTAGATTGTATTGATAGGCCGAATCATATGAAATGGAATTGAGTGGTAAATAATAAAAATTTTATGGAAAAAATTCTAAATTTTAGATTGGTCGAAGATAGAATCTTAACAGAGTTTATATAGAGTGATAAATAATTATTTCATCGTTTGAATTCACAAATAACAAATTTTAATAATTTTATTGTTTGGATTTACAAATTCACAAATAATAAATTTTAATAATTTTTTTGTTTAGATTTACAAATAATGAAACATGATAGAATCTATTCTATCCCATTCAATAAAATCATAATTCGGTTTTTATAATTCAAATATAATTTCATGAGCCATATCTAAAATAAGTATGAAACACGGATACACTAAATATCTGAATATTGACTTGGTGACTTGATGACACTCGTAATACAAGTTTTTTTTGTTAGAGGTGTCGGTGCTTATACAACTCAATTTTTACACTCCTAGTTTTCATAAATCAAGGTTAATCTTATTGGATATGTATTAATTGCTAAAGATAATTGTAATCAATGGTGTAAATAATAAAAGCACTTGACTTGTGTATTTCTACAGTGAATTCTCTACAAGCAATTTCAGATAAACTAAAGAACGTGAACTGGAAAGTCACAGAACGTTCTTGCATTGATGGTAGAGGCTTTGATAATGATAATGTAGATGATGATACATTGAGGAATGTCACATGCGATTGCACTTTCCAAAATAAAACTACTTGCCATGTTATTAGCATGTAAGTTTTTTTTTCTTTTCTGTGTTTAGATTTGAAGTTTTTTATGGAAACTGATACCAATTTGGCAATGACAGCTTTCTAAAGGGACAAAATATAGCTGGAGTCATGCCTAGTGAATTTGGAGATCTTACTCAATTGAAAATATTGTGAGTGGTTTGAAATACTGTTTTATAGAAATTACTAATACCGGTGGAATTTGAATCTGTTAAAGAGTAATTGAAACTTCTATTATGTGTTTGGTTGCAGTGATCTTACACGGAACTATCTCGACGGCTCGATTCCTACGAGTTTTGCTAACAAAACTCTAGTCGTTTTGTAAGTCATCTTTATTTTGGCAGTGATCACAATCCATTTGTGTCACCGGTGCGAAATTCAGCCTATTTTTAAATCATTGTTGTTAGAGATATTAACATTAGTTACAAATTAGTTGCAAGTTAGTTACAAATTGGTTACAGAGTTAGTTATTAGTAGCAAGTTAGTTACAAATTGGTGCCAGTTAATTTGACTTTTATTTTGATCAATACAAAGTTAGTGATGAATGTACTACTGGTATTGTGATTCAGGTCACTTTTAGGAAACCGATTAAGTGGTCCAGTTCCCGCAGAAATTGGTGATATTACTAGCTTGGAGGATTTGTAAGTGTTGGAAAGAAATTTTATGTTATGTTAAAAAATGATAGGGTCTTTGGAAGCTGAATAGTTGAATGATTATCTTGGTTTACATGTACATAGGGTCTTAGAGAATAATCAACTTGGAGGACCACTTCCTGCTAGTCTTGGAAATTTGAGCAACTTGAAGAGATTGTAAGAATGTTTCTTTCTTCTACTCATTTTCATTTTGAATTATTTTTCGGGAGTTTTTTCTGTGCATGGCTAATTGTTTTGGATGATTTCAAATGAATCCGCAGGCTTCTTTCTTCGAATAATTTTACTGGCACGATACCGGAATCATTTAGCGAACTAAAGAATCTCACTGATTTGTGAGTGATATGAACTGATACGGTTTTTATAGAAATATGTGTCTATTAAATTCTGAAATCAACGTGTGCATTTTCTGCAGTCGCATCGATGGAAGCAGTTTATCTGGACAGATACCTAGTTTTATTGGGAACTGGACCAAGCTTGGGAGATTGTTAGTACACATTTAGATCTATCAATGACATTTTTTCGTGTTGGAGTGGAAAACAAATTATATATGTCATATCACGCTTACGATTTTCTGATGAAGTTTTATGTTTTTGAAGGGATATGCAGGGAACATCTATGGAAGGTCCAATTCCCTCTACCATATCTGAGTTGAAACTTTTGACTGAGCTGTGAGTACCTTCACCTTTTCTCAGTGAATTGTAATCGTTAAATCGTTAAAAATGCTAGACTTTAATCATAAGTACTTCTAAACTCACACACGGGATTGGTTAGAATTTGTTGACAATGTATCAAAGCTAAACTCTTTTATCTGAGTGAAACATTTTCTATGTATCAGGAGAATAAGTGATTTGAATGGACCAACTATGACATTTCCTAATTTGAAGGATTTGAAAAACTTGCAACTACTGTGAGTTGAAACATTTTCAGTTATTTTGTGAAGAACCAAATGATTTATTTCTGCTCTTAATGTATTGTTACATTTCTGTGACTCAGGGAGCTGAGAAATTGCTTAATCACAGGTCCTATTCCCGACTACATTGGCGAAATGACAAACTTAGTTACTTTGTGAGTCGAATCGATACTCTATTCAGCTTAAAAATTACTTCTTTTCTATTCGCCAATCATTTAACATTCTAAAATTTCCTGTTTTTCGAATTTGACATATACTTCATTCTTGCAGAGATCTAAGCTTCAATATGTTTACTGGTTCAATCCCGAATTCAATTCAGGGATTGAAAAGACTAAATTACATGTAAGTGAACATTCATTTACTGACCATAAGATTAACTAAAATAATACATATCTATATTTTTTATATCTATAAAACTATATGCTTTTTAGTTATTGGTTTAACCTTGCTGTTTGGATGTAGGTTTATGACTAATAATTCTTTGAGTGGAGTGATTCAAGATTGGATACTGAACTTCAAAATTAACATGTTAGTCTATTTCATTTACCATCATGCTTTCTCCAATTGCATAATTTAAATCCTTTTATTGTTATTAATCTCAAGCCGTAATTGAGCAATGAAGAAGTAAATTCAACCTATCTATATGCTTTCTTTCAGAGATTTATCTTACAACAATTTTACAAAGTCTTCTGCAACTAGCTGCCAGCATCTGAATCTGTAAGGTTCCCTTTGTCTAGAAATATATAAGAATTTCATTTGTGTCAATGTTATTATGCTAACAACTTATTGTTTCGGAAAAGGAACTTGGCTTCGAGTTATTCGTCTTCAGCGGTCACTTCACCTTCGTAAGTTCTTTTATTATTTCCTAACTTGGATATCAATCACCATTGAATTGAATAATCAATCGAAACTAACTATAGTCTTTTTGTAGAACGTTTTGTTTGAAGAGGAACCTTCCTTGCCCAGGAAAACCTCAATGTGAGTGTTGAGCTCATTTACTAGATCCAACAAGTTCCGTACGAGTAAATTGTGATTAGACTTAATTCTGTCTTTGCAGATGATTCATTGTTCATAAATTGTGGAGGACCAGAAGAAGATTTTGATGGAAATCACTATGTAGGTGACCTGCAGGAAAATGGAATTTCAAATTTTGTTCTAAGAAATGCAGGACAATGGGCTTATAGCAGCACAGGAGTGTATATGGGAAATGTTCATGCAGATTATAAAGCATCAAATACATATTCTTTGAATATTAATGGCCCGGATTACTATAACACCGCTCGGCTTTCCCCTCTGTCACTTAGTTACTATGGCCTTTGTATGCAGCAGGGAAGTTACAAAGTGAAGCTCCACTTTGCTGAGATAATGTTTTCTGATGACCAGACTTTTAAAAGTCTCGGAAGGCGCATATTTGATGTTTCAATTCAAGTGAGTACTGAAACAAAACAATTTCGTCACATTATTTTGATTGAAACATAAGAAAAAATGTACATGTATTCGGTTGTATCTTGTATTTGAAGAAACCGTGCGTCCTAAACCGAAGGTATGAATTTAAAATGCTACTTCTTCGCAGGGTTTTAAATATTTGAAAGATTTTAACATTGTGGAAGAAGCTGGTGGAGTTGGAAAGGGAATCACTAAGGAATTCGATGTTGAAGTCAACGACAACACGTTGGAAATTCAGTTATATTGGGCAGGGAAAGGAACCACGGCCATTCCTGACAGAGGTGTATATGGACCTCTTATATCAGCTATCACAGTAACACCAAGTAAGTCTTTTTTTCTATAATCTTTCTTTCAACTACCATGCTACGCCGTGTTCTATAAGCATTTCAATTTTGTTGTAGACTTTAAAAATCATTCAGAAGGAATGTCCGCTGGAGTTATTATTGGAATTGTGGCTGCCTCATGTGTGCTTGTCATACTCATAGTCGTTGCCCTTTGGAAGATGGGTTTCCTTTGTGTAAAAGATCTAAGAGACAAAGGTGAGATTTGAGTCCAAAAGAACGTGAGCTTAAGATACATAATTTGGTATTCTTTTCTCACCAATTTTGTAAAATCTGAATGGGGATTTTTACTTACAAATCTTCCATGTTGCAGACCTTCTTGATCTTAAAACAGGTTATTTCAGCTTGAGACAAATTAGAGCAGCTACTAATGACTTTGATCCTGCGAATAAGATTGGCGAAGGGGGTTTTGGACCAGTGTTCAAGGTAACATATAATGCATAGACGAAGCTCCCATTTAATGGCACAAGACATGACAGAAATTCATACCTCTATTTTCAGCCATTTTCTCCACATCCGTTCAAACTTGCACAGTATCTTTTCTAATTTATATTGATGTAATGGCTTAATGCAGGGTGTGCTGTCAGATGGTGATGTCATTGCTGTTAAGCAGCTATCCTCCAAATCAAAGCAAGGGAACCGCGAATTTGTTAATGAAATTGGAATGATATCTGCTTTGCAGCATCCGAATCTTGTTAAGCTCTATGGCTGTTGCATTGAAGGAAAGCAGTTGCTACTGATATATGAATACATGGAGAACAACTGTCTTGGCCGTGCACTTTTTGGTGAATCCTTCATGAACAATAATACCTTAGTGTTGCGGGTGTATGTGAGTGCGTTTTCTACTTTAAAACCAAGATGTAGCTGAATTTTTTTTTCTCTCCCCCGGCATTTCGACAGGTCATCAGGAACAGAAGCTGCACTTGGACTGGCCAACTAGAATGAAGATATGTCTCGGTATAGCAAAGGGATTAGCTTATCTTCACGAAGAATCAACACTGAAAATAGTACATAGAGACATTAAGGCAACTAATGTATTACTTGACAAGGATTTGAATGCCAAGATCTCTGACTTCGGTTTAGCCAAGCTTGATGATGAAGGGAACACCCATATCAGTACACGGGTAGCTGGAACAATGTTAGTACTTGCAATATCTATTAGCTTGAATCCAAGTTTTTGTTCAAAATTAGTTGATATTTTATTATTAGCATTAACATCCAAAGCTAAAGTCATTGTTTTGTGAAATCATCACTGACTCTTGGGTGCTACGTTTTCTTCTAATAGTGGATACATGGCTCCAGAGTATGCTATGCGGGGTTACTTGACTGATAAAGCAGATGTATATAGCTTTGGAGTTGTAGCTTTAGAGATTGTTAGCGGAAAAAGCAACACAAATTTCAACCCAATGGAGGAGTTTGTATATCTTATGGATTGGGTATGTTTGACCTTCCTTTTTGACATTTTGAGTTTATGATAATGATTTACTATCAAAGTAGAGATCATATAACACCAAACTCGTCCTCTTTCTTTCTTGTTTATGTTATATTTATGGTATGTGTAATTTTCTACTTCATATTTGCACGCGTCATTGAAGGCCTATGATCTCCAAGAGCAAGGACGCCTTATGGAGCTGGTGGATCCAAATCTTGGTTCAAGGTACTCCACAGAGGAGGCCATGAGAATGCTGAACTTGGCATTGTTATGCACTAACACATCTCCCACTCATAGACCATCCATGACATTGGTAGTAAGCATGCTTGAAGGAAAAACTCGAATCCAAGCGCCAGTAATCAACCGCGGTGAGAGGGGCCACCATGCAAGACTCATAGCCTCGGAGCTGTTGTCAGAAGATAGTCAACCTCTTGATTCTTCTACATTTTCACACGAAAGCATAGATGGAAGACATGGATCATCAAATGGACCATGGGTTCCCACCTCCATATCTCTTCAAAGTAAAGATGATTTTTCTTCGAGCAGTAAACTTCCTTGAGTTTTATATGATGTGTTGAGAGAGCATATTAAATTTCAAGTTGTTTTGTGAAGATGATGGATATATAAATGTATAAAAGTGCAGAGTGAGAACATATCAAGAAGATAAGCAAGCATAAAAGTTTGGTCCCACAAGGTTTAGAAATGAATAGCTCATTACATTTATTTATTGCTAAATTGCAATTTTAAATCGTTTTGGTTTTATTGATTTAAAGCAATTTAATCATAAATATATAAAGCAATAAATTTCTTATATATTTATAAAAATCAAAGTATCTAGAAATTCACATAATATCCCTCTAATACAAATTAATATTTAATTTAATTATAAAAGCACATTAGACTTTTTTTTAACGCTACTCTCACCATATTTTTTATGTTGTTGCTCTTGCTTGTGCAAACATGATATTTATAAAAAGCTAATATATGTCCAAATCTTTGTCATATTCACATCTGACGGGTTTGGAAGATCAAGTGAAGTCACATGAAGAAAAGGTAGAGACACTTAAGGATGAGAACACAGAACTAAATGAAAAACTAACAGCAGTAAACATTGAGATAAAGTAAAACAACATGCTAAAGTAGCTGAAGATGTTGTCTCAAGTATGGTTCTTTAATGTAAAAAAAGTTCCCTGCTATATAAAGAGCTTCCGTTTTTTGAGCTAAAATTCTATTCAAATTCTGCAGGTTGAGAAAAGGCAGAAGCAGAAGCTTTGGCCTTGAAGAACCATCTAGGATCTGTCACTCTTTCAAAACTTACAGTTGAGGCTCAGACATCGCAATTAGATGGTGCTCTTAAGGAGTGTATGCGACAGATAAGAAACCTGAAAGAAGAACATGAACTGAAAATACAACATGTCGTCCTTGCAAAAACCAAGCAATTGGACAAGATTAAAGGTGGGTTTCAGGCTAGGATGTAGAACTTTGAACAAGAACTTCTCAGGTCTACTGCTGATAATGCGGCTCTATCAAGGTCCTTGCAAGAACATTCTTACATAAGCACCTTTTTTAAATAGAATTTTGCTTCTAGGAAAATAGAACATAAAGGTGTTGCTGTGAGTTCAAAAGGCATGTTAATCTTGATTTGATTCTATAAAATTTATGAATGATTTGATTCCATAAAAATTTTATTCCATAAACCTACAAATATATATTTTGAATGGAGGCATTAATATCGTTTAATTTTATTATAGTTATATGAAAATTATTTTAAATGATGATATTAATATATTTTATTTTTATGCATGTTTGATTCCATAAAATTTATGATCTATCTATTTTATTTTTATGCATGATTGATTCTATAATCTATTATGATCAATAGAATTTGAGTTCTATTTTAATATTATAGATTTGATATTGTTTCATATCATAGAAATATTATAGACATTAGAATATATAAAGTCATGAAATGAAAATTTAAATCGAAAATTTACAAATATATCTTTTGAATAGAGGCATTAATATTATTTATTTTTATTATATATGGAAATTATTTTGAATGGTGACATTAATATATTTTATTTTTATGTATGATTTGATTTCATAAATTTATGATCAATGAAGGTTCTTGCAGGTTGTTTTATATTAATTCACTATCTACTTTATTTTTTACTAAATTATAGAATCTTTTTAATAAAACCTAATTAACATTAAATACTTAATACTCTCTTGGTGAAATATATTAAATCTAAGAGTTTTTTTTTGTTTTTTCTTCAATTTAACAATTATAGATTGTTTTTCGTAATGAAGGTTCTTGCATGCATAGATCTATTGATACATGTGAACGTATCTATGAAATATCAGTTGTACATTGTTCATTTTAATGTCAATCTTTTAAATTTTCTTTTATTGTTGTTTTATATTTATTCACTATATAATTTATTTATTTTACTAAATTGTAGAATCTTTTTAACAAAATTCAATTAACATTAAAAACTTTTGATGTTTGTTTATTATAAGCAGGGTTAAATATACAAATTCCTCTGCAATGCTAGCGAATTCAGGTTTTAGCCCCTCATAAAGTTTTTTTTTAATTCCCCCTTATGTTATGTAGATTCCCTCAAATCACCCCACTAACCCGATGTCATAGAATCTTTAATAACATTTTAAAATTTTTGTCACGTGCTATTTCTATATACACACATGGCATTTTTATTTAATCATTACCTTGCTCAGTTGGTATTTATGTTTTCTATTCGTTATACCCCTTCAAAATTTGGGTTTATGTGAAGAAGTGTGTGCTGCGAAGAGCTTTAATCCTTATGGTTTATTTTCCCCTTGTTTTGTCTGCTGTTGATAGCGATTCGTTTGCAGCATCCGTCGCCTACAGTCGTCCGACCGTCATGGGTAGAAGCAAGTGTTCATCAACAAGTAAGGGTTTGCCAAGATGTGGCTGCAACGAAACCATGAAGTTGTGGGTATCTAACACCTTCGAAAATCCAAGCAGAAAATTCTGGAAATGCAGAAATTTCATGGTGAGCTGTTTATAAGGTTTTAATTCCTCTTATATGTACCTTCTCATTTATTTATGTTTTAATATTGGGAAAAAATGCAGAATGGTTGTGGTTTGTTTCTCTGGGACGACATGGTTAGCGAGGCTGAAGTGAATTCATCCAGATGTTAGCGAGGCTGAAGTGAATTCATCCAGATGGCAGCTCTATCGTAATAAGATGGATATCGACAATCTAATGAACTATCCAGGTGAAAATGAAGAATGTTCAGAGGTTCAAAGTTTAGAAGATATTGTGGTACTATCATTAAGAACGATGCAGAGGATGACGACGAAGATGATACGGTGTCTTTGGAGCCTGTTACGCAAAAGGAAACACTTATGGCGTCGAACACTCTTCACAACTTTATGATACAATACAAAAATACAATACCTAAGCTATTGGATGCAATAACAAGAGTTAGAGATGAGCTATTGGATGTAATATATTTTTTCCAGTTTCTATGAATTATTAATTTATGATTTTTTTGGGACCGAAAATTATAAAGGGATCTCTCGAAAAATTATTATCTTATTATTTTTATCGAATTTTTCAATTTTTTACATTGATCTAAGTCGGGATCGGACAAATTTATTATTTTAGACAATTTATTAATTTACGCGTATTAATTTAAAAGAGTTTTTGATGTATATCACAAATATCTATCCAAGCAGGGTTTTATTGGTCCTTTTGCAATACATAAAATGGGAGAAGGTTTATGAATTTTTGAGAACAAAAGGGTGGATACTGATTAGAAAGGAGGCAACAAGCATCTTAGATCCGAATCAAGAAATACAGAGGCGCTGATACCTCATCTTCTTTCCTTCCTCTTTTCATCTCCCTTCTTCCCTTCTGCCACTGTCTAATCTTCAACGCCTTCATCCGTCGCGCATCTCCTCCATCTACGAACTCCTCACCTCTACCGATCCTTCAACTTTCATCTCCCTTTGACGTTGTATCATCCATCATCAGCAAACCTCACCGCATCGCTCAACCTCTCGCTGTCGAGCTTCTGTTCACGAATAGCCTTTCATCCTTCAACAGTCTTCCCCCGTCCATCATCATTCTTCCTCCATCTACTATTGCCTCTCTACCTCTTCTCATCCGTTGGAACAACTCTCAATCAACACTCACCACAATCTCTAACATACTCCTCAGTCGAATTTCCAGCTGATATCCCTTCCCGTCTCCGCTGTTCACAACAACCAACAACTTCTGAACCTTCAATAGCCGCCCAGAACCTTCCCCGTAACATATATTTCTTCACCATTTCAGAGTGGGTAAGGTTCATTATCACCATTCTTGTTATTTAATTGAAATTCTGGATTGTTATGTTAAATTGGATGACGAAATTGTGATGGTGTTGTTGTGTTGTTTGTGTTAGATCTAAATATTGAAGTTGTTGTTTTGAATTTAAACATTGAAGCTTATTTTAGTTATGTTGAATTTCAATATTGAGTTGTTATCTTGTTATGTTAAATCTGAAAGAAATTATGATGTCATTATCACTGTGGTAGTGTTAAAACTGAATAAAGTTGATGGTGGTGTTTGTGTTAAAGCTGAATAAAGTCATTTGTGTTAACACTGAATAATGGGTTACAATGTCGATACATATTATATATGTTATCTATGGTAAACTGGAGTTAAGTCTTGATGTCGATTTCCGTGTTTATTGGTGTTTAATTTTGAATGGTGAAGTGTTGATAGCATGGTTCATGTTAAGTTTGAAAGAGGTAATTCGGGTATGGCATCATTTTTGTTGTTTCCGTTGGTTTTGAACATCGATATGTTTATGCGTAGATGCTTCCCAGAATTTGTTTTGGTTGATTTAAGCTTGTGTTGAATTTGATTTTTCATGTCTTAAATTTGAATCGAGTAATAACATTTATTCTTGACCTTTGTTTCCACTTGTGAATTGAAAAATCATGGTAACCTTTATGGATTAGAATGCATATCATGTTTAATTGTGATTAATCTTGGTTGTCGATATTGTGCAACTTGATTATATTTTGAACGGTAAACCTGGTTATGGCATCTCTTGGTTTTCGAGTTTGAATTTAATCGTTTGAGATGGACTTTGTGGAGCGTTATTAAGATTGTATATGGGCTTCATTGATTTTGATTTATGCGATTAAAGCTTGTTTAGAACTTTATTTTTTTCATGTTTGTAATTGGACAATAATTTGAGTTGTTGATTCCGGTTTTCGTTTGTGGTTTGAGATCATGATAATCATTGGTTTTGTTTGACTTTGAAAATGTTTGGAACGATGAATACAATTATGATTTTTGGCATTTACCTTGAATAAACACTTGTTTTCTTGGTTCTTGATTGAAAAAAATATTCATTTGTTCATGCAATTTGATTTAAGTTTCATTTGGTTTCAATTCTCTTGCGATTACTAACTTGTTTTTGGTTTGTGTAGCTTTCAAGTAACTCAAATGTCCACTTCATCTTAATGTTACTTTGTTGCTTTTAGTTAACTAAGTAAAAGTCGATTTAGTTATTTGATTTCATTATTAAAAATTAATTAGTTTTGCTAATTTATTTTTCTTAACTTAATTAATTAACTTAATTAATTTTTAATTAATTAATTAAGCATCCATTTCATATTTCATTTGTTTCACTTAGCTCTGATACAGGTTTCTAATCTACTTGGACTTGATTCCTTATTTCACAAGAGACGTTCGATTTATTTTCTCTGCTATCCTGGTTTTTTCTATTTGTTGGAAATGTCATCTGATACATGGATTCTTATCTGATGTTGTGAGCTTCATCCGATGCTTTGAGATTTATATGACACTTTGAGCTTTATCTGATATCTTGAGCTTACCTGGGGCACTTTCCCCGCTTGTGATTTATTTTTACTTGATGTGTTTTCTACTTGTGATTTATTTTCACACATTCTTCAATTTTCAAAACTTTCTCATCTTTTTAAAAACCTTCTTGTTTCAATAAACTTGACCACTTTTATAATAATCCTTTACTTTGTCAAGTGACTTTTTCAAACTTCTTTTCTTAATAAATGCTAAACCATATAAGCATATTCTAACACTTTCAAAAAGACTAAAAAAATATTCAACTTCATTCAAACCTTTTTATGCGCTCGAACACCTTTTCCCTTTAAAATCTTTTCAAGATTAGACATGATTCATTTATAATTGAGATGTTATTCCTCTATCCACGTGGTTGTCGATTTTTCCACTTGAGTACTAAGGTGTTTTCAAAGCCTCCCTCATGTTGGCGCGTAGTCCTTATTTCTTATACCTTGTGGGCATTTAGACGAGTCTTCTCCTTAAAAATGATGACTTATCTTTTCATTTAAAATCAACCAACACGTTAGTTTTGTTCTTTTTGAGAAGAATTATGAATGTTATGATCCCTTACTGCACGAAGGGAGTACGTAGGCATAAATGTTCACAATCGCTGATGGTGCAATAATAAAAAACATTTTCTTTTGTTTGTAAATATCCATTCATTCCCTTTAGCAAGTAAGTCTTTAAATAACACACTCTTTGATAAAAACAAACAAAGTGGATCTTGCGGAGTACCGTAGATGTTTAGGGTGCTAATACATTTCTTTTACATAACTGACCCTCGTACCTTGATCTCAATTTTATTTTATTTTGGGTTTTATTCGCTTTTTTTTTTTTCCATTTTTCCTTTGAAAACAATAAAGTGAGGTGGCAAATTTCAATGATATGAGTTAAGTTAATTAATGACTTAGTCTCAAATTTTTACCGCTACATTTTCGCTACAGTGCGACAACTTGGCGACTTCACTAGGGACCCTTTCCTAAGTGGGTCAATCTTAGCTTTATTTGTTTTCTCTTTATTTGTGTGTTTAACTATTTTCTTTACTTGTTGTTTATTTATTGTATTTTATTGCTTTCCAATATTCTGTATATATTGTTGTGCTGAATTTCCTGGTTTTTCAGGTTGGGTGGGTGTTACTTTGAGGTAAAAAGCCTAATACTCAGGCTAGAGAGTTCATCTAGGAACACATAGGAATAAAGTGGAGAGTCATTACGGCTACTAGGTGTTATAACTGGTTTAAAATAAGAGTCGTCACCCTTAATTTTTATCTTTGAGAAGAGAATATAAATGATAACCTTAATGTGGCCATAAATTCTAAGTTGTTGGACTCGTTTTTTAGACGAATAGAAAGTGTTAGGCACCCCTCATCTACCATGTTCACAAGGATACTAGGGTTTAGAAATATGACCTTTGAGAAATAGGATTTTAACTTTTTATTAGGAGAATTCGCCACGATTTTAGCTGTATGCCTATGTTTCCTCTTATGAGGAATCAGAGTCCTAATTCGTAGTTCGTAGTGGATTGGTGTTTTTTATGGATTGCGAAGATGTTTTGAATTTCCCTTATACTAAGTCTAGGTATGTGAATAGTAGAGTTGTTAGACGAAATTCACAGTCGGTATAAAAGCCTCCTCATAATCCTTTCTGAAAACTATTTTAAATTAATCAACTTATTAAAAAAAAGGTTTGGTGTTGGTTAGGTATTTTTTAAATGTATTAATATATAAAAAATGTTTTTAATGCATGGCAAAAATAATTTTAATGCAATAAAAATATTTGGATGAATTAGAAAAAATATTTGAATTTTATAATAATAAAAATAATTGTAGAATTTACAAATATATTTAAAATAATAATAATTATAAATAATAAAAGAAATTTAAAAAAAAACGCAGGGGGTGTATTTTATTTGGACTGAGTAAATCATGGGGGTGTGGAAAGCAGGGTCCTGAATTCAGATGTTGAATTCAGGCCCAAATGCAGGATGGGGTGTTGTTTTGAACTACGCAACACAAATGGGGGGTTTGTTCAGCAGGGTCCAAGTCCAAATATTGGACTTGGCCCACCAGCGCTGGGGGTGTGGGTTACTCAAAACTAAGTCAATCGAGGGTGCAAATATTAAGGGCCTAGGCCTAAAATATTAAAACATTTTCAATGACTCATTTATAATCGAGATGTTATTCCTCTATCCCTATGGTTGTCGACTTTTCCACTTGAGTACTAAAGGTGTTCTCAAACCCTCCCTCATGTTGGCGCGTAGTCCTTCTTTCTTATACCTTGTGGTCGTTTAGACGAGTCTTCTACTTAAAAATGATGACTTGTCTTTTTATTTAAAATCAATTAACACGTCAGTTTTGTTCTTTTTGAGAAGAACTATGAGTGTCATGATCCCTTATTGCACGAAGGGGGTACATAGGCACAAAGGTTCACAACCGCTGATGGTGCAATAATAACAAACATTTTCTTTTGTTTGTAAATATTCATTCATTCCCTTTAGCAAGTAAGCCTTTAGATAACACACTCTTGTATAAGAATAAACAAAGTGGATCCTGCAGAGTACCGTAGATGCTTAGGGTGTTAATACATTCCCTTTACATAACCGACCCTCGTACCTTGATCTCAATTTTATTTTATTATGGATTTTATTCGCTCTTTTCCCATTTTCCCTTTGAAAACAATAAAGTGAGGTGGCAAATTTCACTGATATGAGTTAAGTCAATTAATGACTTAGTCTCAAATTTTTACTGCTACATTTTCGCTACAGTGCGACAACTTGGCGACTTCACTAGGGACCGTTTCCTAAGTGGGTCAATCCTAGATTTATTTGTTTTCTCTTTATTTGTGTGTTTATCTATTTTCTTTACTTGCTATTTATTTATTGTATTTTATTGCTTTCCATTATTCTGTATATATTATTGTGCTGGATTTGCTGGTTTTTTCAGGTTGGGTGGGTGTTACTTTGAGGTAAAAGACCCAATACCCAGACCAACGAGTTCATCTAGGAACACGTAGGAATAGAGTAGAGAGTCATTACGACTACTAGGTGTTATTACCGGTTTAAAATAAGAGTCGTCACTCTTAATTTTTATCTTTGAGAAGGGAATATAAATGATGACCTTAATATGGTCAGAGATTCTAACTTGTTGGACTCGTTTTTTAAGCGAATGGGAAGTGTTAGGCACCCCTCATCTACCTTGTTCACAAGGATAGTAGGGTTTAGAAATGTGATCTTTGAGAAATATGGTTTTAATTTTTTATTAGAAGAACTCGCCACAATTTTAATCGTATACCTATGTCTCCTCTTATGAGGAATCAGAGTCTCAATTCGTAGTTCGTAGTGGGTTGGTGTTTTTTATGGATTACGAAGATGTTTTGAATTTTTCTTGTACTAAGTCTAGGTATGTGAATAGCAGAGTTGTTAGACGAAATTCACAGTCGGTTTAAAAGCATCCTCATAATCCTTTCTGAAAACTGTTTTAAATTAATCAACTTATTAAAAAAAAGTTTTGGTGTTGGTTAGGTATTTTTTAAATGTATTAATATATATAAAATCTTTTTAATACATGGCAAAAATAATTTTAATGCAATAAAAATATTTGGATGAATTAGAAAAAAAAATTTGAATTTTATAATAATAAAGATAATTGTAGAATTTATAAATATATTATAAAAAATAATAAAAGAAATTTAATAAAAGAAATTAAAAAAAATGCAGGGGGTGTATTTTGGACTAAGTAAATAGGGGGGGGGGGGTGAAAAGCAGGGCCCTAAATTCATTTGTTGAATTCAGGCCCAAACGTAGGAGGGGTGTTGTTTTGAACTACGCAACACAAATGAGAGGTTTCTTCAGCAAGGGTCCAAGTCCAGATATTAGACTTGGCCCACCAGCGCTGGGGGTGGCTCAAAACTAAGTAAACCGATGGTGAAAATATTAAGGGCCTAGGCCTAAAACATTGTTGGATTTGTTGGCCAGTTTGAGGGACAACGCATTGTGTTATGATGAGTGTGCGAGTTTAAGATCGTTTGATGGAGATCCAAGGGTTGTGATGAGAAGCGCATGTAAGTGATCATGGGAGTGTACACACAGGATCCAGGAAGGTTTTATAGAGTCAGGCCCAACGTTGGGCCTCATTTTCTCCTCTTCTTTCTCTCTCTACTCCCAAACAACAAATCCTTTTATATTTCTAGAGATATGGGCTCTGACCTCTCTCTAGAAATACACCACCGGATGGAAATCGCTTTCGCCGACAACTACATCTGGGTGTCACCGCCTGCATTCAAACATTCATCCCCAACCACCGTGAAAACCCCAGAAACCTGATAGAACATAGTTTGATTCTACAATCCTCGTAAGAGTTTTGATGATAACAAACACAAAGAACAAATATGCACTCTAAAATTATGTTCTATTTTGTACAGAAGTTCTGACGGAAGCAGATCAGAAGTTAAGCTACAAGGTCATTCCTGATGTGAACGTAGACTGATCTCAGAATGTTCTGATGTATGAAGATCAGAATTTGCGCTAAGAGAAAGACATTTTAACTATGAACGGAAGTCTAACGCTACAAACAGGACCTTATGATTCTGACCTTCCAAGTTCTGAAGCAAAGCAGCAAACAGATTCCTTAATGTTCTGAAGTGTTACTATTCATCAAAGCTGTATC